CCACGTTGTGTGGAGTGCCATCTTCGTGACGCACCAGGGCCTGAACGATTTTTGGGTAGTCCTCTGTTGGCGCAGTGCCCAGCTCAAGCGGCTGCTCCTCAAGAAGGGCATGACCCCGTATGAGCTTGCAAGTAGTCTCCAACAGAGAGTTGTAGGCGCCGCCTTGACATGGAGACCACGGGCGAGTACTTCCAGGACTGGCCGGATGGAGGAGCTCCTTTTTTTCCTTCCCGGTGGGACCCACGTTGTCGACGTGGGAGGGCTCAGTACCCCCTCCCGTCCCTGGAGGGGGGAAGCCAAGAGGTCCCCGACTTCGCCGTGCTCACTGCAACATCATTACTAGTACTATTTCTTCTATTATTATTGTTAGTATTTCTATTTCTATTTCTATTACTATTACTATTACGACTAGTATTAATACTATTACTATTATTATTATTATTATAATTATTATTTGTACTATTGCTAGTACTTTTATTATTACTATTACTATTACTAATACTATTACTAATACTATTATTAATATTAGTATAAGTACTATTCCTATTACTATTATTACTTTTTTTTCTTTATTATTCCTATTATGATTATTATTAGTATAACTATTACTATTACTGTTATTATTACTATTACTATTATTATTATTACCATTATTATTATTGCTGTTATTATTACGATTGCTATTAGGACAAGCAGGAGAAACCTGAATATTTCTATCACTATTACTAGTATTTTTATCAGTATTAATTTTTACGATTACTAGTATTACTATCATTACCATTACTGTTACTATCACCATTATTATTTTCGTTATTATTACTATTCCTATGACTATTAGTTGTGGTGCTACTATTCCGATTACTATTGAGGAAAGCAAGGGGAACCTTACTATTACTATTACTCTTACTATTATTGTTACTTACTATTACTATTACTATTACGATTACTATCATTATTATTCTTACTTATTATTATTATTACGATTCTATTACTATTATTATCACTATTAGTATTATTAATACTATTGCTTTTACTATTGCTATTAGGAAAAGCAAGAGGAACCGGAAAAAATACAAAACAAAAAGGAAAAATTACGGAAAAAAAACACGGGACCTTCTTGAAGTCCCAAGAGCAACTGCCTTGCGTCGCCGCTAAGCCATGCAAGTGGCAAAATCCTAAACAACAAACCCTACAAGCGCTAAGCCGTAAACCCTGAAGCCCACCTAAACCCTGTATTATAGCCCTACATCATGTAGCCCCATATGATACCCCGATATCATACCCCCGTCCCCATATTATGTAACCCTACATTGAACCCCTATACCTATGTTATAGAACCCTATGTACCCCTAAAGCTTGGACTCCGGACAGGTTATGGCTGAGGCCTTTGAGAAGGATCCGGCCCAGGCCCAGTTGGAGCTGCAGGAGAGGGTTTTTTGGGGCAAAAAGGGTCATATTATATAGGGATAGTGGAAAAGAAAATGGAAACTACTATTCTGGGTTTGGGGTTCAGGGTTTGGTGGCGGGTATATACAGGGATAATGGAAAAGAAAATGGAAACTCCGATAATGGGTTCTATAGGGGTTATATAGGGGTTAAAGTCGGGGATTGCAGGATCAGGTTTTTCTGGTTAAACAGATGTTTAGCAGTTTCGGTTGTCCTCCACTGTGAGACGCACCATGTTCCTCCTGCAAGGAGCTGCTTGCCAGCCAGGAGCTCATTTTGGAGGCATGCCTGCGGGAGCGTGAGCGTTTCTGGTGACCATGTAGACACAACAATATGAGAATGGGAATGGTATGGGGAAGCTCTCAGCTGCGTGCCCCTGCCAGGCAGATGGCGACATGCCATAGCGGCGTGAAAAGACATGCATCCGTCTTTCTTTGGTTGACGTGTTGGTGTATGGGTGCCCGAAGCTTGGGCCTATGCCTGAATGAGGGATTGGAATAGATTTCTTGTCCCCAGCACAGATAAGCACCCCAGCCTCAAGATGTTGCCCTAGGCAGCAAGACAAGCATTCCAGGAGTATTTTAGAAAATATTGAAGGAGCTCATGGGGATAGGAGAAGTTGACCTGAGTACATCTCGGTGTTAAAGTCCGCAAGTAGAGCAGGATTATGCATTGCTTGGGTATCGTGCTTTACAACAAGACTGTAATGTTACCTGGTTCAACTACCAAAGGCATTTCCCCTTGTAACACAGAACCATCGGATGAACTTAAGGTGCGAAGTTCCCAAGATGGGAGATGGTCCCCACCCAAAAAGGGTCCCCAGGTTGTGTGGGGGGGGCCCACAAACGAATCTGGATCCTAGGTTCGAATTAGATTCAATGGGAGGGATCAGGATCGGCTCGGTCATAGATCAGAAGGGTTTCGGAAGGCCTTTAGAAGGGTTCCTATTGAATTATTCTCAGAATTATTTTGTTTTGCCGCGCAACTTCGCAGGATTAAGGGCGCCCACACGAATCAGGGGGCGCGAATAAATTCGCCTTTGCTTCGCACAATTAAGGCCCTCCACAATAATCGGGATTCGGGATCCAATGTTGACATGTAGATCCAGGCTTATAAGCCATCCTTCTCAGGAACTCGCTTTGACGCAAAATTCTGGATCCCATATTGGGCCCGCTATCACAAGCAAGCTTTAGTGGTAGCCGTGTAAATAGAGGGTTGCTGGTCTTGAGAAAAGCATGCGCTGCCGACGCTCAGTGCTTAGTCCCAGGACAATCAGACGCCCCGAGCTGGGGTGCTGTGTGGCTGCTTCTCCCATGAAGGCCTATCCTGAGCGCAAGGGCCCCTGCATAATCTCAGTGTCATCCCTAAGATCATCCCAAGTGGCCCAGATACAGAACACAAACACCCAGTACAGAAACTATCTGGAGCCGCCTATTGCAAGTTTCACCGAGCCATGGCCAGAAGTTGCTTGAACTTCTTCGTTTCATGGTCCCTACTGACACTTGTTGCTGGTGCCACTCACAGTCGCACCGGGGATGAAGCCTGCAGTGGAGAGAAGAACTTGGCTCAAGAGGTGGCCTGTTTGTTTGTGTCACCATTAAGGGTGCTATTTGAGCTATAGTTCTAAACTTCTAGTATCCAGTATCCCCCTTAGTAACCCCGTTTAGAGTAAAGCTCATATGGTAATTGGGCCACAGTACAAGAGGGATACAATACAAAGCCATGGTGTTGACAACCTTCTCAGGTGGCTTCCTGTTTCGCAGGGGAAGCCTTGGGAGAGAGCGTGTATGTCAAAGTCTTGGCTTACAATGCCACTGCCAAGGAGGGTAGCTGGACCATTCTTGAACAAGTCTTTTCCATTTGTTTTGCAAGAACCTCTTCGGATCCAAAGGCACAGAACAACGATCTGTTTCTAAAGGCTCCTGCGAGGTAGTTTCCATGAATTGGGGATCTCCATATAAACCCTGGAGTGTTACAACCCTCGTATAGGAACCCTTCCATGGGCACCCCTAAGGTTTGGAAAGTCTTATTGACCAGGTACGATGCAGCTTCGCGGCAGCGGCGTCTCAGAGACTGCATGCGAGACCCAGTTTTCCCAGCAGGCCCAGGCAATCAATCTGTACCAAGTCTGCCTGCCAAGTGGTGTGAGCTCTATCACGATGAAGTCCCTGGGTCATGCAGATTCAGGGGTTTAGGGTTTTGGGGTTCAAGAGTGCAAAATCAAATGGAAAAGAACATGGATAATGAAATGGAAGCTGGGATTATATAGGCATATATAGGGAGTAGGGTTTAGGGTTTAGTTTCTCTTTGTGAAGTCTCCCAGTAGGTAAGGTGGGATGAGCTCTCGTTTTTTGGTGTGTGTTTTTTACGGTCAATGTCTCGCGGCTGCCCAAAACAACGGTCCTGCGCTCCGGGGTACATATGACAGGCCCTAGTGTTGAGAAATGGTTTGCCTTCGCTGCCCTTGGGTGAGGTATTGCTCCGATCAGGACGGGCTTGGGAATGGGGCTTGCAATTGCAAGGTCAACTGTAGAAGCAGCAAGCGGTCAAGCATTGTGCAGGGCGTGCTTGGAACTTTTAGGATTTTGGGAGGTTTATTATATACCCTATATAACCCATTATAGTAGTTTCCATTTTCTTTTCCATTACCCCAATATAACCCCAATAATCCCTATAGTTTCCATTTTCTTTTCCATTATCCCCCATATAACCACGGCCTCCAAAGGACATACACTGAGCGTCAAGGTTGCATGCACAGGGACATCCCAGCAGGTACAAGGCCCCAAAACCAACAAGCGAGAGTTCGGCAGCCTGTGTAGAGGACTCTTTTCTGCTGCAAGCCATGGTTGGAGGTTTTCAGACAAACCTCTTTCTGGAGAAGGCTGGTGGAGTGTTGAGTGATGTCCACTTTCTGACTGCACCCCTGCGCAACATGAATCTTGAAGCCGAACAAGGACAGGACAGTGGCACTCCACGGTGAATGCAATTCTGAAATACTTAAGCCACCCGACAAATCGATCGCGCAAGAGAAATGACAAAAGCCGCAGAGGATGTTTTGTGGAGGATGCTCACGAACATAAAGCCAGAAAGGGGATCCCTAATCCCTAAACCCTAAACCCTAAACCCTAAACCCTAAACCTTAGCCCTGCATTCTTTGAATGGCACGTGGAAGGCATCCTGCAGCAATGAGGCCCTACTGGCGTGCCTTGGCTTTGGGATTGTTGGTCTTTGGGGTCTAGGGTCTTCAGGGTTTAGGGTCTATAGGGTTTAGGGTCTGTATGTTTTAGGGTTTGAAATGTCTCTAGGGCCTGGGTTTCCCGTCCGGGCTTCAGTCTAAGTGTCTCGACTCTAGACCTTTCATTGTTTTCGGAGACATGAAGTCGTTTAGCAGCCTAGTTTGAAACTCGATTATGTCCCATCATGTTTTCCTACAACGTTTTGGTCGAATTATGCAACCTTTGGAAGTGGTTGCCGGCCTTGGCATGAGTTGTACAACCGCCATCGGGGGGCTATGCATGCTAATGGTGCTGCCTGGCATTGAGCATCTTATGCGGGAAGACTGGCTTAAAACTCTGTCAGCCCACCAGAGCCGCACAAAGGCATGCCTACAGCCTTCGGTGCAGTCTAAGGCAGCCTTTGATGAGACGAGACAGCACAGTGAAGCACCATTCCTTGCAAGCTCCCGCCTGAGCGGTTATTTGATAGTGACAGGAGTGATTGGACCACAAAAGGGATTAAGAGGGCGTGACGGGGCCATGCAGCCTTATGTGTTTTAGCTTTCCTCCCTTGAGCAGCACTGAGCACTGCCGCTGGAAAACCACCTGGCACGTAACCAGCAGAGCATGACAACTCCGGCTGTGTATAATGCTGTAGTTGACGGAACTTCCAACAGTTTGCGCGATTTTGCGCGTTGATCTCTTGGCGTTCAAGTGGAACATGATGCATCCGAGACGCTACTGTGCCACATGCCCGCTGCCAAGGGTTCTCTCAAAGGTAGAGACATTTAAGCACCAGTCAGTGTCCACATGGAGCTTTGTGCAGGCTGAGCGCTGCAGTGCTAGTTGGATAAAGCCGGTTTCAGTTCATTGAAACAGTTTTGGGTGAGGTGTCATGCTGTTCCATACGAAGCACACATGGCCGACATGGCAGGCTCTCCCGAAAGGGCCACCTTATGGAGGTCTTCAACCGGGGCCATGAACCCGAAAATCCTTAGCATGCCCAGAAATGCGAATTCTGAAAGTCACTTTTAAAGAAGTTTGCTGTCAAAAGTTGTAAAAGCTTCAGTCATCGTTCAGCTTCCTTGCCATGGCAGTTTGCCTGTGCTGCATTCCCGGCGAGGCCCTTGAATCAGCCGGTACTAGTAGGTGCTGCAGGGGCCGAATGAAAAAGGTAGCTTTGCTGATCACAGGCTGGCGACTTTGAAGCCTAGCTGTAGTTTTAGCCTATGCCGTCCGCCACAGGATGCAGCAATGTAGTTGGTTGGGGCAGGTGCGTGAAATCATATTAGGCCTGAAGACGCTGTTTCTTTCCTACTGTCCCTGCAAGTGCCGCTGGAGCCATGCTAGCCCACAGCTGTTCTCCAACTGTAAAGAGGAGTCAGGAGCATGCTCTTGAGGCCCTATACTTGCAGCCCAAGTCCATGCTTTGGCGTTGTTTCAAAACCGGTTCTGGTCTCTACTGCTCAGAGTGCTTGCGTCGTGAGTCGTGGAGCTGACAGGACACCCACAGCATGGGACTCAGACTGTGGAGCTTGCGCATCCAAGTTGCGACTCAGTGAGAGCAGAGTCTAGCTATCGACGACAAGTCTTGAGTTAATCTCCTATCTTCCCATCCTAGACATGGAAGTCTAGCGAATAGGTTGGAGTGCATCGAAAGAGCTTTTCTCCTTCCTCAATTTTATAGTAGTTTCCATTTTCTTCTCCATTATTCCTACAACTCCTTGCTTGGTGCCAAGAACCTGCTGCCCTCATCGAGACGCAGAGCGTGGTCGAGGATGACATCCGTCGTGCCCACGAGGCAGTGCAGGCTGGGCAGGAACTGGGTTGTATTGGGAGAATGGAAAAGAAAATGGAAACTACTATAGCATGTTAAAGTTTTAGTATAATTGGGTCATATTGGGATGTTATACCCGAATAATGGAAAATCAAATGGAAAATAAAATGGAAAATGAAATGGCAACTCCGGTTATATGGGAGTTCTTTCCGACATCTGACAAGCGACGCGTTGGATCGATGTTGTTACCTGCCTGCAACCGAAAGTTGCAGAATGCAGTTAAGTAATGCGTAAGTTTCTTAACAAAGAATTGTGTAAATCCGTGCTAGGAACAGAATCTATTTACGGAACAGTCTCTACACATCCCTGGAAGACTTTAAGCGTCCCCAACTTTCAAAAACCTTCTTATGCGGCCCCGAAGAGCATCAGAAAATGGGAAGCTTGGCAGGTAAAGTGGCCTTGCGAGGACCTCCCAGGCGCACAGCATCGACTCTGCCGGAGCTTGTTCCAGTACAGTATGTAGATCTATGAGTCTATGAGGGAATTCGTGCTTGCAGAGCGTACGGGGAATATAGTGTTCAATGCGAGCTGCATGCTGGTTGCAGTCCACTATGCCCTCCAGACCTTTCTTCCAACCCAAGATCACACACATATCAAGTATTTCCAGTAACAGCATGCAGCATGGTCTGGAGGGTTGCGAAGTTTGCGTTGCCTGCCGCGATGCATGCCCGTTAAGTCCGGGGCTACGGAACTGCTGAAGCAACTTTGGAGGTCTGCGCAACTGACCACCAAACATCAGAACGGTTCAGCAAAATGTGACAGCACCTTGAATTCTTTTGGGAGTGTCAGCTACTGAACACTTGGTTCGGGAAAAGTGTGCCGCACTACGGCAGGTGCGCGCCAGAGCGAGCTAGAGAGAGGGAGAGAGAGTCTACTAGCAGTTGTTCATTGTGGGAATTAGATGCTGTTCGGTACTGGAAGGTTTTCAGCTTGTGGAGTCTGTGTATTCGCTGGTACCGACTGGACGCCACGGATCCATTGGGGCTCAGGGCAGTGCTCTGACCTGCCCATGGAGGCAGGTTGAGCCCGCAGAAGAAGAAGAAGAAGAGTCTAGTAGACTTGATGGGGAGCTGAGGGGATAGGTTCTGCAGACTTTCAGTGAACAACACAGACCGGGCAGGAGCCCGGGTTGGCCCTTGTGGCCCTTGTGGTCAGCCCATAGCCCGCACGAAAGAAAAAAAGAAAGAAAGACAGTCTCTCATGGCTTTTGTTGCCATGAGAGAAGGACCCGTCCTCAAGCATGGCGAGTGGGCATTGAGTGGATAAGTGCCATTTTGGGGTCGGAGTGTGGGCGGCACAAGGGGTTGTGGTTGTGTTATGTAGGAAATATTACGGAAGGGGGTGCCGGCGTGCGGGGTCTAACAGAAGAGTCTCATGAAATGGTGGTGCGATATTCTCGCAGCCTAACCAAAAAGGGGGGGAACTCGTTTCAGGTCCCACATGATATCTGGATGTTGGGAGCCTGAAACGTGTAGTAGCCCGGGCATGGTAGGTGACTGACAAGACAAGCGGACTTTTGCGGGCCTATGGGGCTCGGCCCCGGCGTACTCCTGAGAGCGCGAAGCCCGAAGAAGAAGAAGAAGCAGCAGCAGCAGAAGAAGAAGAAGAAGAAGAAAAGGGAGCGGTGAGGGGGTTTCCCGACTCAAAGGAAAGAGAGATCGCTACGACACAGCAAGTGCTCAAGCAATGATGAAGGGTCAGCCCCTGCAGGCCCACTTGAGGGTGCGAGCTTCGTTGTGGGTGTGGATTCCGCACCGGATGGCAGATGTCTGGGCTTGACATTTGCCTCCCGGCAGCACCTCTGGGAAATGGAGACCCCTGGATCTGGAGATGCTAGCCTATGCAGTCTAGGGACGTTCGTGATGAGGGGTCGTAGACAAAGGGTTTGCATAGCGTGATCTTCATCAGTGGTCGCTGTGCCGTGTGATAGCAGATCAGCTTATGGGGGATCACGTTGCGGTCCGTGCACACGCAAAATTCGCGAATGCGCCGTAGGTTAGTTGCAAAATGCTCAATTCAAGATGTGCTATCTTGCATGTGACCCAGGATTTCATGGATGCTGGCGTGGCCCAGCTTGCATTTTGGATCTAGGCCTCGGGCACCAGAAAGGGCATATTACTGGAATAGTAACTACAGTTATAATTGATAATTAAAAGTAGTCACAGTAGTAGTAGTAGTAGTAGTAGTAGTAGCAGCAGAAATAGTAATAGCAACAGTAACAGTAATAGTAATAGTAATAAGAGTAGTTAATAGGAATATGGCCATAGTAATAGTAATCATAGTCATAGTAGTAGTACTTGCAGCAATAATAGTCATCGTAGTAATAGTCTTAACATTCGTAAACAATGCTTGCGGAGCCAAGGTCTGCGTCGTTGCCAGCGTGGGCAAAGGCTCCCTGATAGACGCATGGAACTCCAAATGCTGCATCCTTACCACCAAAGTGGTCCGGATACCTTTCAAAGGAATGCAGGGTTATGGGCTATAGTCTAAGCTCCTTTAAGGGGGGTCATATAGGGGAGTATATAGAGGATATTATAAGGGTCTCTAAGGACAATGGCTCATATACGGGTTATGAGAGTGATACTGTTGATGCTAAAAGGTCTGCAGAGGGGCCATAATTCCCAAGCTATAGGGCGCTTGGGATCATGCAAAGTCTTGGTATCAACAGTATCGGCCCAATCCCTTGGAAAAAAGCTTGAACCTACCTGGAAGACGCAGAGTCTCTCTTTTTGGGGGAACCCCAATATAGACCCTAAATTCTCGGCTTCAAATATCGCTCCTCCACACTGTGCTGCCTAGGTACGCCAAATGAGGTTGTACAACCACGAGACCGACTGGTCCAGGTGCATCTGCACCTGTTCAATCAGGTGTAGTGTGAGGATTTCTTGCACAAGTTGTGTTGATGGTTCCTGGTTGACAGAAGAACCTGACCCGTGGCAGGTAAATGGGGTCGGGGCAGATACTGGCGAAGTGCTCGCGCAGAAATTGGCAGCTGCTCTACATGGGGGCGGCGCCCATGCTTTGCGCATTGCTCAGCTGTTGTAAGGCCATCCCCGATAATAATTTCCCCCACTGCCCTGACAATAAACTTCATAATACAGTGCCAATATTACTTGAGGGAGGCTGAGGGTTCTGTTGTTAGGGCAGGGGATTGCTTTTGGAGAATCGGACGTGCGAGGCATATGGAAGTCCAAGAAGGTTAGCATTGGTCAGGCGACTTTCTGTGCCAAATTCATGGCTTCAACTAGGTAGGATGGCTACAATGCTACGACCCTCCAAGAAGGATTGTAACAAAGATGCAGCAGGGACAGCTGCTGTCTGATGTGACGGTCTCAGGTTGAAATTCCAACATCCAGTGGCTTGGACCTCAGATTCTGCTGAGCTCTTGTTTCACTGCGCACTCGACACGAAGCGCTCCTAAGCAAGGTGGCCACCGTCAGCATCAAAAAGTGGTCCTCCACCCTGGGGCTGAACCTGCACTATGCTTCAGAAAACCCTCTAGGTTCGGCTGCTCGACATTCTGTTTGAGAGAAGCTTGTTTCAGCATGTTGACCTGCAACCAGGTGGAATCTGCGTGAGGACAGTCGCGGATGGGGTCGTCAAGGCCGTCCACGACCTTCGTGGTAACATGGCATGACTCTGCACTTGTTTTGCTAGGCCAAGGCTTTGAGCATCAAAGCGGGTGATCGAATCCTTGAGTTCAACGGACAGGCTCTGTAAAAGGCTCAGCTGCGGTTAAATCTACTGCTATGCACAATTGCCATTTTCACTGGCATGGTTTTCTTGTTGAAGGCATAGAAATAGTTAATCATGTGCTCTTGAAGACGACAATTTTTCGTTATTGTTAGAATTGTTATAAAAATATCAGTAGTGTTATTATTAGCAGTATTTCTATCATTTTCATTGTTAGATTTATGTTGTTATTACTTGTTATTTGTTATTAGGCCATTGCCATCCTACCCCTGTTGCTTCCACTGCTCGGACGATCACGTACTGCTAGTTCTGCCGTTGGTGCTGCAGGTGCTGCAATTGTTACTATGCCTTAGGAGGACCCCCCAGCCTGTAATAGTGGTATAATAGGAATCTAAGAGGACCCTAATATAGTCCTTATTATCCCTTATAGTCACCATTACAGGCTGCGGGGTCCACCTAAACTATGCTAATTTTCCTGGGGAATTCCTGCTAAAGTGATAATTGTTCACGCCTGGTTTGATTGAGAACAGTGCGTCAGCAGCATGGCTAGTTCTTTCTGTCAATGAACCCGGGGCCGTTAAACCTAAACCCTAAAGCACGAAAGCATGCAAACAGCCAAGTGCTCAGGGACTCGCAAACAATGCTCCAGAAGATCAAGGACCACGAGGAGTGGAACATGCAAAGGGTTTAGGGTTTGGGGTTCAGCAGTTTAGGGTTTACAGGATTCAGGGTCGAAGTCGTAGCTGCTCGGTGGTCCTTTGGCTGTTGCTACCTGCTTGTAATTCTTGCTCTGCATCTACGTGGAGTCCTTACAATATGGGCTGCATTGTTGAGGGGCCATGTTGACGGCTCTAACCCTACATGTGAAACCCTAAACCCCAAACCCTAAACCCGTCTTGGATGGTGCCCTGCATGGCTCTGCCTGTTTTTCGGCTGTCTCCTAGTCCTGGGAGGTGTGCTTCACCCGGCATGTTACCTTGCGATGGTGTCGTGGCAAAACCCTAAACTGTCGAGAGCGCCGCTGACCGCATACATGGGCCTTCGAGCCTCGTGGGTGAGGCCTCCGGCCTGGCACCATATCGAAGCTGCGGATGAGCATAGTTCGGGTGCTTGGGGTGGGACTACCCAGCTGCGCAAGCGCGCGCAGGGTGTGCGCCTCTATCTCTAAAGAACAGGCGCGCACTCCGCGCGCGTCCACTGATGCACATCCCAAACCCTAGACCTTAAACCCTAAACCCCAAACCCCAAGCCCTAAACCCTAAGCCCCAAACCCCAAACACCAAACCCTAAACCCTAAATCCTAAAAACCCTAAAGCCCTGAACCCTAGACATGGCTACCGGTGGCGAGGAGTTCTCCCTCACAGTGCTGTCTTGGCCAGATGAAGGTGGGGCCAGATATTGGGGTTTAGGGTTTGGGGTTTAGGGTTCAGGGTATCTCTGCAAGCCCGCTGCAGAAGGGTTCAGAGTACAACATGAGGCAGAGGTTGCTTCTTGTATTCTGTCTGTGTGCGAGCCCAGATGCCACAAGTTCTGATGACAATCTTGGGATTCCATTGGAATTATATAGATGGGGAATCACATGGACAAGAACATGAACAACGAGATGAAAACTTCTTGCTACATACAGGGGTTATATAGGGATATCACCCCAATATTGGAGAATCAACTGGAACATAAAGTGGAACATGAAATGGACACTGGGTTTTTATACTGTAGTTGTATTCCATCCCCTCCTACCCCCTATACTGCCCCGACCCTCTGGTTCGCCCCAATGATTCAAACCAGCCCAAACTAACCTTTGAGGGTGGTATGGCGGGGTAGTAGCTCTGGATTCCCCTAAATTGCGTTTGGGGGCTTAGGTTCAGCCTATGCAGAGCGGTGCAAGATGTCCCTAATCCACTGGAGGAAAAAGGCAGGGCTAAGCAAGCTTTCTAGAGTGATTGTAGGGATGATGGGTGCCATACCTTCCTGCTCAGGGAGAGCCAAAACAGGGTTAGGGCTCAGTAGTCAAGTTTAAGCTTTGGGGTTAGGATTTAGAGGGACTGTTTGGAGTCATATGCAGAGCATGTAGAGCTGCATGACTGGGATGTTGTAGGAATATTGCTGGAGGAACAAGAGGTGTTTTTTGGCATGCGGATCCTATGATGTGCGGCGTCCACCTACAGAATGTAAATCCTAGACTCTTAGTCAGGGTACCCTGAAATATGGGTCATAGGGGCCAGAAGATTGGGTATATGAATAGGATACTCTGAGGGTCCAGATGCTTCATACCCCAAATTTAGTTGTTTTTAAGTTTCCTTAAGCAGGGGACCCCAACATAGGCGCCCAAAGAATATGAGGACTCAAAAAATTACCCTGAATTTTGGGAAATCCCAACCGTGATCCATCGTGATCCTATATATATTCCCAGGTTCCACTTGATTTTCCTTTTGAAGCCCTAAGCCCTAAACCTATGGTGTGAGCGCAGATTCAAAGTCCGAGCAGCGCCTGAAGTAGGATGTGCGGACGAGAAGTCCCGATGGGCGGTGCCCTTCATGATTTTCCTTCTAGGTTTCACCTTAGTTAGCGACGAAATTCCCAACGAAAACGGGCAAAAGTGTAGGGGAAGTTCTGTTCTGCCATACTACTGAAGTGAGTTATGCAGATGATACTGTTTGGATCGGCTCTTGGGGTCGTCAAACAGCTGGGGTTCTGAAGGGAAAATGTGGTTGTTACTTTTAACATGCCAAGAAAGTGAGCCTAATTTCGACCACCCCTTCGCACAAGGCCCATGGCAACGCCGCAAATGCGGCTTGCATGTCAAATCCGCCTGGCCAATTTCTTACTTTTGGTTAGCTAGGAATGAAAGAATGCATCCTTATAGTAGTTCCTATATAACTAACTCATCATCGTAAATTTCCATTTTTTCCATCTCCCCATATAGCCCTTATCAAACCCTATATACCCCTATAAAGCCCCACACACTTTTCCATTCCCTCATTCTAAGCTAACCAAAGGCCAGATTTAGGCCATCATGGCAGCTAGGTGAGCGGCTTTGCTAATCGCTCCAGTTCAGGGCGTGCATTTCTCAAAAGGAAGGTCCCGCTCTCTTCCCCGAAAGTTATGATGGATGGATCCTTTCTGTGGGTGCCCCTTTACATAGGATCCATGCTTTCCAGAGACTGCACTCCCAGATGTCGGCTGCATCCTATATGGATGTCAGAGCTCTCAAGATGCAGGACGTTGCAGGAAAAGTGCCGGGTTTTGGCGTTTGCATGTTGACATGCCCGTGATAACCTGTTTCGGGTTACGTCTCTTCAGCTACTTGTGTGAGCACAGATCGCTGTTTATAGGAATCGCATCATGCGCGCCGATCATGGACTCGAGTTGCCCCTGGGATGTCGCACTAAGATGTGCGCAAAACGGCAATCAAGCTTAGCACAGGCTTATGAGCTGCTGCTGAACAGCAGGTCTTACAGGCGGAGCAGTCCCAAGTAGCCATGTATAGCCATAGCCGTCAAGCAACACAGGTACCTCAGCTTTTGTCACGCCTCATGCTATGGCAAATCAGCTGACCTCACTTTCAACAAACGGCTGGAAAATCGTCCGAGCAAAGTGGAGGAGGCATTGTCACGGCTTTCTGCATGTTTTGGCCACCCTAGTTTTGTCTTTCCTGGCGGGATACGCTGATGTTATTACTTACATGCGCTACGGAAGCTTTGCAGCAAGCATGACGGGCAACGTTATTTTTGCCGGGAGGGAGCTGGCGAAATGCTCCTGGCCAGATGTGTGCTTTTACGTGCTCATCATGGTATCCTGGACGACTGGCTCATGCCTGTATATCGAGATTGAGAAGATTTGCCCCCGAAAGGGTGGATCATGGACTGCCATTGCTGTGGCCTTGACGCCTTGCTTGTTTTTCAAGATCTCTCTGGCATTGCCCAGGCCCACGGATTAGGGAAGTAAAATGTGAGCAAGGAGGAACCTAGTTTCGAGCAAGTTCTATACACAAATCTGGGCTTTTCCTGGAATCGTGGGTATCACTGGGACCTCTAGAACAGGACTTTGTCATGTTGGACGTGCTGGAAAAACTGTTGTTCTAAGAACACACCCAGTCTCCATATCACAACAACTACAGTTGCTTGTCCGGCACCGCACTTGACCGGAATGCGAATCTAGAACTTTCCAAGACAGGGTCAGAGCTGCAGATTAGGAATAAAGGGACTCTACTGGGAACCCCAAATAGGGAACCCCAAGAATAGAGTAGGAATCTAATAAGAATATACCTACCAGGGTCCTTATATTCCATAATATTCCTAGGGAGATGTCCCATAGACCTGCGGGTCCCTGTGTCAGTGTCTGCCACTTCGTGGGGCCGCAGTTTTTAAAACTTCCATAGGTCAGGGGTGGCGTGCGGATGACCCAAAATGAACCAATGAGCGCTTAAGCAGTTTTCTTTGCTCACTGAATGAAGTGGACTCCAAACATGGCTGATGATGCGGAAGCATCTGGTAGCGTGAACTAGCAGAACTGGGAAGAAGGGTGCTGTACCTGTATATGATATGAAAGAGCTCCCAAGGATATCAACTGCCGTGGACGTTGCCTACAACATCGATTCCTTCGACGGCAAGACTAGTAGGTGGTGGATTCTCGGGCTCATTCCCATCTTCGGTGTAGCAGAGGCGGGCCCAAAAAGAGACGTCAAACAAGAGGCTCAGTATGGCCTGGCCAAGTCGCACTTTCGTGCCGTTTTTATCCGTGCCCTAAGAAGAAGGCACTTTTCAGGAGTCACTTCCCTGCGCCTAAGAAACAGCTCCAGAAAGCTGGTGTTTGATCTCCAGGCCTTTGCGCTCAAACATTTGCGGCTCCCGACAACGGGTGTGGCCAAGCATCTCTTCAACATCTCAAGGCTCCGCGAGGTGTCCTGCAGGGAGGCGGCATCTGCAGATCGGGAGGATGTCATGCTCAGCGCCGTCATGCGGCCGGGCTGCAACCGAATCTGATCTATGCACTTAAGCGCTGCGCAGGAGATTTCTACATTTTTCAAAGACGCTTTGCAAAGATGTGGCTCCCTGACCAAGGCTGGGTGGGATGATTTGTGGTGCAGTGCTTGGCGAGCGCCTGGTTGCAACTTTTGGGCTGCAGGTGCGGTGGTGTTTTATGCCTGTAGCACCACTTGTGGCGTTGGCTGTTTGCGTGCATGAGCTTCAGCTGCATCATGCCCACACCTCGAGGACAAAATGGGGGTTTCCCAACATCAGGGCTGTACCCTTTTTTGGGGTCCCTATACTAAGGGCTTTAATATCTTGGGGTCTGTATTGAGGTCCCCTTTTCTAGGAAACTACCATACATACTATCACTATCGTTATTCTTGTTAGAATTTAGTATTACTATTCTTACTACTGTTATTATGATTGTTAGTATTCATATTTTGTTGTTGTTGTTGTTGTTGTTGTTGTTGTTGTTGTTGTGGTGATCATCAAGCGGGCATCCGAGGAGTGGCTACACTCGCGAGCGGCCTGCAGAGACGGCCAAGACTTGGAAGTAGGATCCGACGAGGAGGAAGATGAGAGCGACTCCTGAACCAAGGCTGGCGTCGGGTTGCTTTTTATGTTTGCTATCATTCATATTACTGCTATTGTTATAGTTGCAATCATTAGAATTTTTATTTTGAATTCTTAGTCTTATTACTAGTAGCGTTCCCGTTATTACCATGTTCACTGCTACTACAAGTACTATTATTGGTTGCCGTCGAACTCCAGCTGCCGGGCATCGGTGTTTGACAGTAAATAGTTTTGCAGACCAAAGGTTTCGTCTGCCCAGATTGCTTGTGGCATCCTGCCCGGGCGTGAATGTACAGAAGCATGGAGATGGGCCTCAAACACATCTGGGCGTTTCCCAAAATTTGGGGTACCATTTTGGGGGTCCCTATAATAAGGATTATAGTTTTTGGGGTCTATATTGGGGTGCCCTGATTTAGGGAAACAGCCATCTAGCGCTGTTAGTCAGGGGATGGAAGAAGAGAGGAGTATCTTTTGTTTACCTTGGATTACCCTGACTGTTGCAGCATTCCTTCATTCCCTTGCAACCAGCTGGAGAAGGGTTCCCGTGGGACTGTCTTCACTTGACAACCTGCGGAAAAGGCGCTCTGATTTTGTCAGGAGTTCTTCCGGTGTCCCCGCTCAAAAAATATAGCGTTTATGTACAAGGAGCCCGCGCAAAGGTAGGCTTGTACTAGGATTTTGGGCTGATATGCGAATCAGGATGGGATGACATAGGCGCTTTCCCGCTAGCTAGCTTGTTCTTGCTCTTCTATCGCAGCTTTGTACACGCTCTTGGGTAAGGAGGGCGCTAGAAACATCCGTAAATGCTGACACGAGATGAGGAAATAACATGATTCAACTTCAGGCCTGCCTTGTTCAGGTTCCATATGCCCCACGAGCAAAGCGACCTGTTTCCGCCATGAAAGCTGCAGAACGACTCCAAAACCACCCCAACTTGCAATGGCTGTGCCCTGAGAAGTGCGCAGAAAGCTAGCAAGCAGGGTCCGAAGAGCGGACTCTGCACACGTGTCCGAAACTGTATTCGTGAATATCTACCTTTCTGTCAGCATTGACGTCCGCTATAGTCCACACAAGTCACAGAAGTTCGTGATCATGAAGGAGAGCAGAGCAAGCATACCATTCTTCAGATTTAGTATTGATGCATGCCGGGAGGTTTGCTTACCTCACGCGCAATCGCTGCCTGAAAATGGTCAAATGCCCATGTTTCTCGCAGAGCTCGCGAGTCGCCCCCACAGGGGTTGTCCCCAGTGTGGATGGCGGCGTGGTGGTCAAAGTCGCCCGCAGTGAGCCTCTCGACTGCTTTAGTGACATGTGAGTTCACGGGTTTTTTTAGCTAGCATCACATCCAGGGTCACAATGAGCTGCAGCTTGCTTCGTCCCGTGCCGCAGGCACAAGACAGGAGCCGCAATAGCAACCATGCTGCTAGATGAGCATGAAGAGACTCGGCAGCAACATTGACTGACACAATCTCAACTGCCTAGCCCACAAAGCATGGACTTCACTATTGCTTGTTCTTCATTGATACCATGAGTTTAGAAGCATAACGAAGACTTTTCGTTGTACGGTGGTCATGTGTGTCTTTCATCAAATTCGCTGTTGGGGGGGGGCCAACGTGCTTGCCTTAGCCTGGCGCTTGGCTGCCGACTTAGGACATGAAGCGTCGCTTTCAGGACGCTGCCTGTCACATGAAACCATAATCATGGATTCCTTGCTTGGGGCTTCTTCACGCAGATTTGAAAGCTCTGGAAGTATAGGAGGACCCTAATGATTAGTTTTGCAGGATACAGATCTGCATTTGCGAGAGTATCTGTTTACATTATGCATGTTGGAGAGTCCTGGGTGTTGGCCGCTGCCGAAGCAAAGGCATGAAATCTAGCCAGACTAGGCTCCAGAGATAGATCACAAATATGGAGACCCCAACAAGGACCACAAAAAAGTTATACGTATCATCCTTATCATGATCCTTATTGTAGGGAGCCTGCAAGCAGGTATTCTTCATTTTGGGAAACCCTCAAATCTGCCAGAAGGATGCCCTTGGAGTAGTTGGTGCCCAGCCTCATACACTGCCAGCGATGCCGAGTGTCGGTGGCTCAGGGACACGCCAGGCTTGAAGTACATAAACGTATACGTTCAAGATGTCTTGGCAAAACAGCGGGGCGGGGCGTTTCCTGAAGCTTTGGCAGGTCTGCATAGATAGATATAGAAAGAAAGAAAGATAGATAGATAGAAAGATACGTAGAGATACATTTCTACATAGACGCAAATAAATCCATCCATACGCACATGTCATCATAATAGCACACTAGATGAAAGCGAAGGCCTTCGAGCAGCAAGTGCAAGAGTGGGCGGTGGCGTGTGAAACTGAAGCATACGAAAGCGAGATGGGCAGCCGGGCCGCAGTTACCTGCAATTACTAGCCGTGCTACCAGTAAGGCCACTAAGCTGCACTTGGCTGACCAAAAGTTGACCGTATTGATAGTAGTATCGCCTCCCCGCTATTACTCTCTTGTGTCTGTTATCCATGGTCCTCGAAATAACTATTACTCAAACGATTGCTAGTATTCTACCTGTCACTCTCACTCCTATTCTAATTGCAAGTATCCTTCTGCAGGCAGGCGGGCCTACAGCTTCTCAGTGCCAATGCTGGTGGCCAGCCAGCTCGGGCAGGCGGAAAAGGCCAAGGAGCTGGTAAGTGACATGGAGGCGGCCCTGGAAGAGGAGGCCAGGGCTTAGGGTTTGGGGTTTAGGGATGAGGGTTTAGGGAGTTGAGCGCCTCAGGAACAAGGGTTTAGGGATTCGGGGTTTACGGTTTTAGGGTTTAGGGGAAAACCAGCAACGGCAGGAAAGAATCATGAAACTATGAAGCTAGCTCGCCATAGGAGCCGTTTGGGACAGTTGCGATGACAACATTGTTGAGCTTAGCAACAGTAGCAGCACTAATGGGCATGTTGATGGGTTGGAGAGCCGCAGCAAGGGCTTCACTTCGGCGATGTGCAGTGCTAAGCCACTCCCACGAGCGACGTGCAAAGATCAGATGGATGCAACAGCATCCCCTGAGTTTCGTAGCATGATGTCGTGAGGCTTTTTCAGAGCCTCATCCTGAACCCTAAGCCCCAGGAGCCCAGAGCCCACAGCTTCCACGATGTGTCTTGTTATGCCCGAGACGATGCCGTTCATCCCGGTAGAGTGTCCATATGCGTCCCCAATCCTCGTCCCAATGTCCTTCCTATTTCTTCCTCCCCAAATTACCCACTAGTATGGAGCAGCAGCAAGTGTGGCAGGTCAAAGCCCAGAAGATCTCCCCGTCCACGCATGCCTGGCTGCTAGGCTGCATTAACTGACTCGTGCTTTGAATGCGGACGAGAAGGTCATCACGCTAGAAGATAACAACTACCAAATTGAGCTTTGCAACGAGGAGTTGATTGGGGCTTTCGTTTCTACACGCCAGCGAAGGCTATGAGGCTTTTTGTAGGCGTATCCTTCCTGTAATTTAGAAGCAGCTCCTGTAGAATTGCTCAAGCACGCCTTTCAAATGGACGGTCGCCCTTACTAAACAGGCCCGAGAGAGCCCTTCAACACTCCTATGCAGACTTCCGATGGAACCCCATTATGCCCTAGAATCCTAAACAGCATCCTCCACAGAATTTCCATGGAATCCTCAAACCCTAACACCCTAACACCCTAAAGCCTAAACCCAAAACCTTAAACCCTAAACCCTAAATCCTAAACCCTAAATCCTAACCCTAAACCCTAATTCCTAACCTTCAACCCTAAACCCTAATCTTTGAAAAGCCTTATCTGACCCTTAGGATGCTTGGCCGGCTTTTGGTAGCATATTGCCAGCTCCAGCAGACTGCAGAAGCGGCCGGTGCCAGCGAGCGGCTGCGAGGTTTGAGCCACATCCCAACATAAGGTATAGTCTAAACTCCTTAAAGGGGGGTTATATGTTATGTAGGGGATTATATAGGGGACTACTATAGGGCTTATTAAGGGGGATACTAGGAGTTTAGACTATGGCTTACATGGTAATTTCCCAAAATAGGGGGACCCATCATAAACCCCAAAATGCTATAGTCCTTATTATGGGGGCCCCCCAGAAATGGTACCCCTAATTTTGGGAAACTACCACATCTTACAGTAAAGCCCAAATAGTTAGTGTTTAGGGTTTAGGGGAGTGTGGAGCTGAGGGTGGGACTTGCTGTGCATTCAAGGTTTCGTGGCCTCCTTTTGGGGGTTGTGGGGTTTGGGGTTTGGAGATATTGGCTGATTAGGGTTCAAACCCATGGCCAAATGCCAATGTTTTGGGGTTTGGGGTTTCGTGAAGGGCATCGCAAAATTTCAGAAAATTCGCTGGGTATTTCGGGATTCTTGGCCCAGGTCAAGATAAGATTGTGCTTAGGCTTTTCTTTTGATGGTTCTGCGTCCCTACCCCAAAGACTTGGCCCAGTTAGTACCCCAATATGAGGGGACTCTTCATTTTTTTTTGGAGGTTCATAAAATATGGACAGGGTTTTGGAGCCTCCATGTGCGGAAGGTGCGCTGAATCAGATTTTGAGGCGCCGCCTGGCTCAGAAATCGCAGAGCCTGGGGAGGTTTGAGTAGCTTTTTGTGTCGAGTTTTTTGGATGCCAAGAAAACCAGAGGCTGACCCTAAACCCTGTGGATTTCCTACGTGAAGCAAAACCCTGAAGCAGGCAGAAATTACAGCTCACATGCCCGTCGCCTTAAAAACTATATATTGTAGACGGCCAGAAATGAACCTGACACAGAGCCTTTTGGGACTGCGGTCCTTTCAAATCGGGTCTATTCCATGATAGTATGGGGCAGGATAAACCTTCAAAGCCCAAACTGTGAAAAGTCTACATTCGCCAGGAGGGGGAGGAATAAAGCGGTGCTCAGCAAACAAACTAAGCTGAACCCTGGCGCTATTCCATCCCTACACTTTAAACTCTAAACGGTAGTTTCCTTTTTCAGTTTGTATTTGATTCTCCAGTCTTCAGGGTCAGGGGCACTTAGTAAGTGGGTCAACAACCCCTATAACCCATATAGTAACCCTAGTTATCACCCTTATTAACCTACTTACTAAATCTCCCTTACCATCCAAACAAAGGGCCTTCAAACTTCTTCCAGGAGCCTGGAGTCTTTGGAGGACCCCATCGAAGCATGGGATGCTTGGCTGGGGTATAAGTGGGTGGCTTTCCGTCCCATGACACTGTTTAAGCTTTAGGGTTACAGATAGAATGTAGACCCTTGATTAGTAAGCCCCCTCCTTTTAAGGACCTTAATATTAGGATCCTTCTTGCAATCCCTATTAGGGGGTTTATGAATCATGGGCCTAAGTTAGGGTTTTTGGTTGGGGTTTAGGGCTTGGGGAAGTAGGGTTAAGGGGGGGCTTGGCCTGGATGAGCCGCTGCAATCCAGATGCAACAAGAAGAGTCAAGAATGAAGAGGTGTGTAGTGTTGATAGTTGGGGGCTTCCCAATATTAGGGATACCTTCTTAGGGGTCCCCATAGTAAGGGTTATAATATTTTTGGGTCTATATTGGGGTTCCCCCATTTAGGGCAACTACAAGTTCAGGGCTGATTCAGGGCTGAGGGTCTGGGGTTTGTGGGTTCTGGTTGGCAGCTTGGCAGCCTTCGGCTCAAACATTATGGATTTATTATAGTATATTATGGGTATATTGTGGTATATTCTGGTATATGATAGTATATTATCACAATCCCATGGGAGAGGAAGGTGTAGGGATTACGTATGTGGGGGGAGGGGAGAGTCTTAAGATGTTCCGTGTACACTCCTGAACAACTACGCCCGTCATCCCATCCCTAGGCAGGCTGCCCCCCTTTTGCGGAAGCCTGGTGAGGAGGTCTATCAAAACTGGGGCCTCCTTGTTTTGAGAACCGCGCAATTCCTATCATCGTTCTTTAGCTGGAACCTGTGCAGGACCTGTGAATTATACACGTTCATTCTCATTTGCAGTGATAGGCGGCCTCTAAGATTTGGGTAGCTGGCTGCCGAAGCGCTGCGTGAATACAACGTGTGCTACATGTCTCAAACAGTGACCTGTAGGACAAATCTTTCTGCTTGGGAACCTTACCTCTGACAGTGTTCACATGAGCTAAGACTCCTTGTATCCCCCTTAGTAACCCGAAAGTACTCTCGTATGTATAATCCCCTTTAGAACCCCATTCTCAGAGTTTAGACCATAGCACACATGATTATGGCACACCGTACTGTACCTGCCTCGACATGAAACCCGCGTGCTGCGTGTCATGCGTGTGCTGATGCAGAGACCCGAGGCCTGGGCCTATTTGCTCCTCAATGGCGACAAGGTACCACGCTTTATATCTAGTCCCCCTTGAGTAGATAGAATATGCCGTATATGGGAATCTTATTGTAATATACCCAAAGCCATTCTGGATCTACTTAAGGGGGACTACATGGCTATGGCGTAGGATAGAGGTCTGCTGGACGTCTACAGTGGATGTGCTCTGGTAATCCCGATGCTCCCTTTCACGTACTGTAGCCGCTAAAGCCCATACCAGCCTTAGTGGTGTCTTCGCAGCGAGCAAGTATGCCACTCAGTTGTACAGACATGTATGCAGGAGTCTTCCGATCTCCCAGCTTGGCTAAAGGCGCACCGCTTGAGAAATGCAAGCTGTTTCCGTTTGTGCAGTATGCCAAACATTTTCCTTGCCTGCAGCGCCTGTGCTGAACCATGGGGATGCTTGCGACAGCCTCCCGTTCAAAGGCGAGCCGCATGGTTCTCAATGCGGTTGATGCTGCCACCGCAGAACCTGGAGATCGCATGTGGGTGAACACGAAGCTCGCACAATCAGAGCTTCCATCGCTTTTGTTGACATGCAATCATGCACCCATCCGGCTTGGCATGAAGACCCTTTGGGCCTGTTGCATGTAATCCTTATAAACCCTACACATCCTCCAAATCCAAGGATGGCCCTTCTGGCCTTCTCCCGGCAGCTTGACGCTGAATGCGTCCTATCCTCGGAGGACCCTCTCGCCAAAGAGGCTGTTGCCGTCCTTGACTCAGCAGATCCGCAGTCATGGCAACCAAATCCTTGTGAAATTTAGGATCTAGAGTCTTGGGGTGTGGGGGTCAGACCCAGATGCAATAAATGCATTTAGGGGTTGAGGGCTTCAGGCTCATGATGTTCGCCGATACTTGCGGCTACTTTACTGCGGCGAAAGAGGTCATTGCGATTCGTTTTTCGATGGTACAACGATGACGCATAGTGATATTGCTCCCATGATTGCCATTCATGGAAAGTATCTACAGGTTATAGAGGGGTTATATATGGGATAATGGAAAAGAAAATGGAAACTACTATATTATTGTAGGGTATGTATTGGGGATTGCACTCAGGAAACAGTTGGCGACATACTCGGCCTCTTGCGGTGCCGGGCTCAGATTTGGGTCCCGGAAGCGCTATCTGGTACGGATTGTGGCATTGTGCCGGAACTCCCACCATTTACGTAGTCATGGTGAGTTTGTGGCTGTTGTGGTTTTAGTGCCTTTTTGGGTTGGTTGGGTTTCTCTTCCTGGTCCCTAGCTGGTAGGCAAGATGGTGCAGGGCTTGTACAACAGTTTTTTTCTAATTCTTAGCCCACCTCGGCCAGGTTTTTTCTCCCCGTGGGTTTTTGCCCGGCCCGTATAGATGCGGGGTTTTCTTCATTAAATTGTGACTGTTCGTCTTCTCCCTCTTCTCCTTACCCTCCCCTACTCGAGCGTGGAACTCCAAATAGCTCCCCTTGCATGGACACGGGTCTTCTAGACCTCCTTTTGGGGCTTCCAATTCATTTCTACCCTCAACCCTAAATGGCCCCTCACCCTCCACATCCCTATGTCCTCCACACACACTCCCTGCAAAGCCCGTGAGAGTCTCCAAGATCCAGCAGGCTTGATCGCACAAAGTTGCCCACCACCACAAAGGGCGGCGTGGACCCCGAGACTTGGCCTGGCTTAGCTGCTCTGCGTGAAGGCTCGAGCCCAAAGCTTCCAGTATTTATAATTTACCAAAAAAAATCTCCGTACTCGCCCCCAGCCCTAGCTCTGTCTGCAAGAAATCACTTGACATACATGTCTCTTCGGCCAAGAAATGTGGTAGGAACTGCCGGAGCCCGGGCTTTCTTAGCTGTGTTGGGCTGAGGACTTGGTCCAGCAGCACCAGCTGACGCTTGCTGATGCAATGCGTGACATGGTGTCAGTTATGGATACTGCTGATCGTCCTGCGCAACCCAAATTGAAAGTGATGGCCTTCCCAGAACTTCACACACCGAAAGGACAGCCCTGCAGAATCTGCTCTTCCCCTAGCATTAATTAAGGGACCCTCGTTCCCAGACCTCACCAAGACAAACGTCTTTGTAGAGAAAGCCATTCAGATGTTGACGAGCCTCGCAGACAGCCCCATTATAGTGTTTTCCATTTTCTTTTCCATTATCCTCATATAACCCCTATATAACTCCTATATAACCCCAAAATACTATAGTAGTTTCCATTGGTTCCGGGCTCCAAAGTTGGGGTTCACAGCAGCCAAGTTACATTTAAGCCTGGCTGCTGGAGCGAGCAATCCTGTTCGGATAGTCCCTAGAAAACTGCACAGGCTCCCTAGAATGCCCCTGTAGAGTTCTTGTTGACGCCATGTGTGCTTACGAATGACTATCAACCCTTACTCAAGTCCATGCATCCCTCGTAAAGAGGCTACTCCAGGGCTCGATAGGGATCATATGTGGTTATACAGGGGGTTTCCAAATGAGGGGTATTTCGGAATTACCCCAGTCAGAAAAATCAGGCCAAGTCCCCGCGGGCGATTTCCGGGCCTGGGCCATCAGCCTTGTGAAGCTGGCCCTGGTCCAGGCAAAGTTTAGGGTTTATGGGTTCAGGGTTTAGGGGTTTAGGGTTTGGGGTTTAGGGGTTTAGGGTTTAGGGGTTTAGGGTTTGGGGTGTAGGGTTCAGGGTTCAGGGTTTGCTGTCATGTTGCCGTGCAGGATGTGATGAGCAAGTGTCAATGATCCCTCAAGTGCATGGCTGCATGCGAGGTGCTGCCATAAGGCCATCTAACACAATCACCCACCCCA